AAAAACTCAACACTTAACTCTTATAAATGGCTGATAAAACAAAAAAACTCAGCCTTAATCTTTGCACACATAAACAACACACCACTAATGTCGAACCCTCCCGACTCGCGGTTCAATCGAGAAGTTTCTAGAACATTCTCCCGATTCTCCCAACTCGCAGTTCAATCGAGAATTTTTTCTACAATTTTTCACCGAACCTTTGTGCGTTATTTTCTTTTATTTTTTTCTCGAAATTCGACTCGATCACTCCTCGACGAATATTCTCCCGACGAATTCACGGAACCTTCTCGAGTAGAGTTTCGGATCAACGGCCGAGATGGAGGTGGGGTCCGCGTGCAATGACTTGTACGCATGCTCGATTTTCTTGGTGATGTCATAGTCTTGTAAGATGTCGATAATCCCGAAATAAAGTACAACTTCGTGAGTTTCTCCGTTAGTAGAGTGGCTAAAACCGGCATGAGTGTACCGGTCGAAATCGCTCTTTCGGGCCACACGTTGGGCCCGTGCAGGCATGTTGGCACCAAGCCTTATCAATGGTTTCCTGATAAAGAAATATTGAGGTAAGGGCAATTGTGTCATTTCGATTTTCGAGAAACAGTTTTTAGTAGTAAGGGTAACTGTGTCATTTCACAGGGTAAAATGCCTATTATTTCATACTCGGCCATATTTCATCTTTGTATTTGCTATTTAGCTGTAAAACCAAAGGACCGTAAAGAATAAGCGTATAACAATTCAGAATTGAAGCAAAAACCACAAACATACAAAATGAACCCTATTGAAAAACAGTTTATAAATCTAACATTTAAATATCTCAGATAACTATTCATTGCAAGTGATTGAAAAATATTGAAAGGGAAGAAGAGATTTTATTTGTTAATAACACTTTCTTATCTAGAAATATAGGACCATGCTATATACTTGTGTGCAACAAACTGCAACTAAAATATTTGTCACCCCATCATTATTAGGCCCCCATGAATTATTCAACTATCATTTTCAATTCATTATAAAAAAAATTTAAATAATAATTCATACCTGCCAGATAAAACCCGGTCCATGTCTTGTAATTCGGCTTCGAGAAAACGACACTCGCGCATGAATTTTTCGTCTTGGTACGAATCGCCTTTTCCTGAGAAGAAGCAAGTTACACACAATGTAATAATCAAAACCCTCAGAGTCTCAAAGGACAAATCAATACAAATTTGTGAAGTTGTGACACTAAAAATTTTACCTGCGCGCAGAACAAAAGGCGATAAACCAATTTTATCCCGAGCACTATCATCACGAAAATGAAGGCCGATCAAGAGACTGTAATCCATGATCCGTTCTCTCTCGAGAAATTCACAATCCCGATGAATTTGCCTGCAAAACACAATGTTTCAAAGAATTAGGGAAAAATGCTCACTCACATGACAAAAACAAGTAAATATAATAACTAAAAAAGAGATAATGCAAAAAAATACTAACTTGATGAGTTCTTGATACCAATTGGTCTGCAAACGGAACGTATAGTTTAAGTCGAGGTCCTTTAGAGTTGTGGTTTCATCAATCTCCCCCTTAGTTTTATTGGCCGTTCGACCGTGTGATGATCCTTTCAGATCAAATCTTCTATTAATTCGATACTCGGAGCAGAACAAATTTCCCATCACAATGAACCGTGTCTAAATTCGCAAAAAAAGAATACATTAAATTAATCAGCAATACTGAAGACACAATACATAATATAACTAGTAAACTAAGCGCATAAACATTTTATTTTAATAATGTACCTTAACGCCACCGACTGGCTTCACACAATGGACTCCGTAAAATTTTGTGACGAGCGAATTTTCATAACGAGAGACATGCTGATAGTAACTAGGAAGCATCTTGATAAGCACCTGAAGAAAAGAAAACAAATAATGCAATCATACTTCGATTTTTGAAGAACAGAATTAGATTTTTTTTTTTTAAAAAAAAGGCAGATCAATGGTAGAAAACAGATAACAACAAACCTTGACTTCTGATTTCTTGACAGTCTTTATCATAAATCTATCATCTTGTGTCAAGTAAAAGAAACTTCCGCTCTTCCCAGGAGAAGAAAGTTCTCTCAGGGCATCATTTCCACAAATGGCTAACATGTAATCTGCTTGATCAACTCGAAATAGCTCCCTTAAATGCCTTTATAAACAAACCCAAGCAAACAAATTTCAAATTTTTAGTTCAGCTAGCCCATAAGCATTCATGATTTTACAGAACCCACAAAAGCCAATGAATTCCTAATAAAGCTAGCAACTTTAGTAACAACTAATCACACCATTTTAGCAAGAATGGAACCTTTTTACCTAAAGACAATCGGACAATAATCCTTCCACCGAAACTCAGGTGACTGATGTGGCGGCGTGATTTTAGACCCTACGGCTGGAAATTTCGTCCAAAACTTCTCCTTAGGATCAAAATCAGTCATCTTGAGATCCCGCAAAATCGAAGCATGCTTTCCCACAGTATACCTAAAGCAAAATTATATTAAAAATCACACAAACTAGAAATACACAATGGGTTTTTCAAACTTTCAACTTTTAACCTTACCTAATGCCCATCTGAAGGTTGAGCATCAGATCATAATTCTTATGCCCTTTCACAATCGTTTGTCCCGGTTTTTTAACATCACCGCCAATTAAACAGCCGGGGTTCCTCCTAAACTGCTTAATTCTATCACGACTCAAAACCGAGCCATTCTTATACAACAATGAGGCCTCCAAATTATCGATTATATCACACGTTATATCCCCAGCCTCCCCATCAGACTCCCAAATGCAAATCCTCGGAAAAAAACCCTTCCCCTGAAAAGCCCCATCATTACACGCCGGATTCAGAGTCTCCTCCTCCACCACAGTCGCCGGAGTCGACATTTTCCGGCCAACATTCTGATTTTTCGAGCTGTGGGCAGGGTAAAAGGTCCCATTCAGAATTTGCTGCCCTTTGTTACCATTTTTACACGGCTCGTTCGACCAGCAGCCAATATAGCAGCTCCCGTCCGGCCAGGTGAAGACCCCATGGCCTTTGGGGGCCCCACAGTCCCAATCACCGTCGTACCTATTTTTGTTGTGCCAGATAAGGACACCTCTGCCGTGAATCAACCCGTTCTTCCACTCTCCGATGTACTCGTTTCCATTCCTCCAGAGGTATCTGCCATGGCCGTCCTGGAGATTTCTCTTCCAGTGGCCCTCGTAGTAATCCCCATTGCTGTAGCGCTTCACGCCGTAGCCGTGCTTGCGGTCGCCGGACCACGAGCCGCTGTACAAGTCGCCGTCCGGCCCGACGAAGGTGCCGGAGCCCTCCATCCGGCCCGACCGGAACTCGCCCTCGTAGGTCGCACCCGACGGCCAGGAGAACTTCCCTTTGCCGCTCGCCTTGCCCTTCTTCCACTCGCCCTCGTACGAACACCCGTCGCGCCACAGATACTTGCCGGATCCGTGGGGGGCGTTGCCGGAGAAGGTCCCGATGTACAGATCCCCGTTGGGGAGCCGCTTCTCGAGGACGCTATTGGGCGGGCCGGCGTCGGAGACTGAGGCAGGCGTTACCCTGCGGCTCGCCGCGTGGGATTTGCTCCGGGAGGCGACGACTACCGATCTCGGCGTGCTGGCTGTAGTGGCGGCGGTGGCAGTGCAGTCGCCGACTTTCATTTTCGCTCTCCCTAAATATTCTTGGGAAATAAAAGGGCTTTTCTCAGTAGATGGGCAAGCAAATCAATAATTCAAGATTGCTTTTTTATGCTTTCCTCGTACTCAGCTATGGCCGGAAAATCGATTCACCAGCTGGGAGCTCCGGCTCCGACAGCATTTTCCGGCTTACCCTTTTCCTTGTAGTGAGAAAAGAAAGAAGCTTGCTTTCAGAACAGTTTGGAATCCGAAATGGTAACAAATAAGAGGATAAAAGAAGAGGTAAGAAGCCTTGTAGAGAGAGAAATAGGAAAGGGCAGGATGAATATTAAACTAACTTAAAATACAAAATAAAGTACAAAGAGAACAGAAGAAAAGATATAAAACAGATGGAGGCGAGGAGAGAGAGATGTGATGGCAATGAGTGCGTGTAGAGTGAGAGAGAGAAAGAAAAAGTGTAGGTTTTTGGCACCTATTGGATTAGCAATGCTTTAAACGACTAGAATCAAGGTTGTGTGTTTTTTTTTTTTCAAAACGACAATTATATTATAAAATTAGAAAACTCAAGAGATTACAAAGGAGTGTTAATTGACATTAAGGAACCATAAAACTTGGACCTATCCCTTGGAACAACACAAGTGTCCAAGGGTATAACCTCCAACATGGAGACGAAAAACAACATCACAACACAACTCCATAAAGAAGATAAAATTCTACATGGGAAACTAAATGTCAGACGCCGCTGGACTTATCGAAACAAAACAAAACCAAAAGAAGACTAAAACAGTAAAACCACACACACCTAATATACAAACTAGAGTAAATCCTCTCCTAAACCTAGCAAACGAACCACACGATCACCAAAACTAACAACCGAGTCCCATCCACAACCAAGAACCTCAAACGAGCAGCATATCTATACTTCAAATTCAAAAACTGCGGCAACTTAAACCGCCTAGACGAGTTTTCATCCAGATCTGAACCCAAATAGCTTCGAGACTGGGAAAAATAGGGGAACTACCAAGAAAATGCCGGATGACTCGAGACAAGAGACCAAGGAAGGACCACGCGGCTCGCAACCGAGCAGTCCGGCCCAGCAGACCCGACCCCCTAGAAGCTGACCAAACACGCGCCTCCATGGTGCTAAAAAGGAGCTCGCGAGACCGGGACGCCAACAATTCGGTGGGCTCCCGCGGCTGGGCTGAAAACGGCCGGCGACCCCTCCGGAGCCAAGAGGATAGGCTTGGCGATGAGAACCATGGCCAGCCACAATCCCACAGGACTCCGGGAGGGGCGGAGAAGAAGGCCCTAGCCGCGACTCAGTGCGAATAGTTTGGATTGCGCGAGATTCACTCACCGGAAGAGGGGGGCGCCGATTCTGCAGATCTGAGTGAGCTGGAAGAGGATTTTTCTTTTTCGTTTAGGTGAGAGAAAAAGAGGGTTATGTTGTTTTTATTGTCGAGGGCCCCCGTTTGCTTCATTTGAATGAAGGTTGTGTTCGAACTTGTGATATTCGAGCCTAAAACTGAGAAGTTAAAATGTGTAAATTTTTAGCCGGCATTGTATTATCATTGTTTTAGAATGAGCTGAGCTCGAACTCATGATATAAGTCGTACATAGTGTGAGACAGAGAATGAAAACGATAGCTTTTTGGCACTTTATTAATATTTTTAAAATAAAAAGAATCGACTCGAGCTTGTACTTTTGAAATTCAAATTAGACATGAAACATGCCCAACAGGCTCAGAATTGGCCCTGAACCAACATCAACAAACCTTGAATCGAGTCGGTTTCGAGCCACACATTTGTAATACCGCCGGACCGATTCCGAATCGAAACAGAAACCTAACAGTCTTGTCTTTTTTTTTTTATTTTTTATTGTTTTTAATTATTTTTATTTTTGTATGAACCTGTCTGGCCTGGAACCGGTGGTTCATGACCGGTCCGGAGTGCCGGTTCATTGAACCAACCCATATATGTTTTCAGGCCGGTCCAAGGCCCTCAAAATCACAGCTTGGAACCGATTTATTGTCATGTATCTTACAAAATTATTGTTTCAAATATACGGGAACCTATGAAGTGAATCTTATGTTTTCAGTTATTACAGTGTGAAATGTAAAACATAAAATAGAAGTACAACTTAATTTCAGACAGATTAAAGTCGAGGCGATTGTAATCTTTTCGCAAGACAAATACGCCCAATGTAGCGCTAACGGGTCTTTGTGTCTTGTCCCCAAAGATACAACGACTGACTCTCGAAGGCTGTAGCATGCCAACTTTCGAGCTTCGGCAAACTTGAACAGAGTCGAGAATTTGAGCAGTATGTACATGCGTGAGACTATGAGAGTGCAAGGATGCAGATGTGGGATGATAAGTATTCTCCTGCAACTCTAAACACGTCTTATATATAGGACTCCCAACTAGCAAGGGATGGCTTTTCTTCAGCCACTTAAGGCATGAAACAACCAACCAATAGCTGTTGTAAGTGGGCATAAAACTGTCAAGTGGAAAGCCTTTCATTTTCAGGTGTTAACACACCATCAATCCACCTGATAACCACTGAAACGGTCAGGTGGAAGGTCACACATCCAGGTTCAATGTACCTGGAAGGTCTCACACAGGTTGGGTCAAAATTCGAATCTAAACCTAACTCGATTTGGATTTTATATTGGGCTTCGAAATTGCAAATAAATTTGCAGTAAAAAGATTATAGGGGCTGGGCCAACACCAAGCACAAGATCGTCCCAGACCGAACAAGACCGCCCAAGTCCAGCCCACAGTCCAATTGCCAAGGACCAAGGACTAAAGCCCAAAGCCCAAAGCCCAAAGCCCAAGACCCAAGAACCAGGCCCAGGCCCGAGCACGAGCCTGTGTCTGTGCCCGTTTATTAGCTAACTTTAATAATTTATTTCTCATTCACCGAAAATCAGTATTGAAAAAATAAATACACCACAAATATCTACTCGGAACGTATAATTTTTCTACACGATTTAATTCAACTTGAATTAAATATTTAGCCATAGAAAATTCAGTCAAAACCGGGTTAAATCTAGGTTTTATAGCTGATTTTTCCAACAATGTCTTCTTGAGCTCTTGCTATTTGAGCCTTTTTTGAATTGAGTCACTCGTAATTTGTTTGATTTGATTTATTAGATAAAGTGAGTTAAAGTGTATACGTATTAATAATATTTAAAATGTATAACTAAAGTAAAGTGTATGTGTATAAAAGTATGAGATATATGTTATTGAAAATAAAAATATGTGAGTGGCTGAATAGTTAATTAAATTTAAAGTGACATATGAAAATGACTTATTGATTAATATTATTTAATTATATTAATAATATTGAGAATAGTTAGGTTGTATTAAAATTGAATTATATTTGAATTTGAAAGGTAAAAAAATTTATAATCGATTAATATATGTAGAGATTCGGTCAAATATGCCCTTATCGGATGAACCTGCAAACAGGGGAATATTATCTCTGAGTTTCCAATTCGTGACGGGACAGCATTTTGCCCAAGGCGGTGAGAAAGGACACGACAGGTCACCTATGTGGTTACCAAAACTGCCTCTCAATTTGGAATTTTGTTACGAAAATGCCACTAATATGTTTTTTCCGTTACACGCGTCAGAGTTCTGTGGATCTAATTGCGGCAGATTATATAGGTGACCTCAATTTGCGTAATTGGGGAATCTGAATTTTAGTGAATATTAGTATTATTTTCTATTATTATACTTAGATTAAATTTTGAATTTTCAATTAATGGTGACTAACTTTTATGTAATTATATTTTCTTTTAATAGATATTCATATTTTAAAATTAAATAAATTCACGTGTGATATTTTATGGTTTAAATATACATTTTGTGTTGTAACCAACCAATTATTAGGCCCTTCATACAGTAATATTGCGTTTGGCTTACTGTATGAATCAGTTTCGTTGTCATATTATTACCTAATTAATTTGGTAGAGAAGGATGGTTTATATGGTTTCAATTTCACTTTTTAATTTATAAAACTTTTTTTTTGGTATATTATATCATATGTTTTTCAATGATTTATTAAAACGTTTGGCGATCTGTGACTTGTGAGATGACATAAAAATCGAATCCCAAGGATTGAGGGGGTGATTGGATACAAATTGTACAGTAAAAAAACCAATCAAAACTCAAATTTAACTCAACTTTAACTCAACTCTACTATCTTCAATATTATCAATATAATTAAATAATATCAACCAATCATTCTTACACATCACATCAACTTTAATTCACTATTCATCTACTCACATAATTTTAACTAACTATCACTTCCAATCATTTTCTCCTACTTTTACATCAAATCAACTTTAATTATTTTATTTTAAATATTATTTTAATATATCCACTAACAACTAACCATACCACCTTTTTCCAAACTTAACTATAATTACAAAATAACTAGTTTTTTACTAGTTGAATTCATATCCAATCACCCCCTGAATAATCTGGAATTACATTAAACTTTTTCAACATTTAATACAGCCAGTGAATAGTTTGGTGCTGATTTGAAAAATGTTGGAATTATTGCAATTGGACTTACTCTAATGGGCACAACTTTTGAAATAGCTCTAATTAAGGATTGCTCAATTTCATCTGTCTACTCCCACAATATAAAATAAATATAAAAAAAAGGTGGTGTTTTTATTTCCAATAAAAAAACAAATAAAAGTGAACTTGAATATCACATATTCATCTATTCAGATTTCAGTTGAATCGTCTCACCTAACATAAAAAAACAAAACCAATTTGGAGAAAAGTGTTTGAGGTGGGTTTGTTTATCAACACTTTGCTGATTAATTCAGTTAATGAGATGATAATATTATGAAAGTAAGATCATTTATATATTAAAGTGAACTTGAATATCACATATGAATGGAATAGATATTGTTTATTAAAATAGTGATTTAGAGACCTTAGCTTCGGACTAGTTTGATTTATAAGATACTCCCTCCATTTTGAAATATAAGGCATTTAAGGTTATTGCACAAATATTAAGGAGACATTAATTAATGAATAAATTGACTAAATTAACTTTATTTACTCTAATCACAACCACTCCACACTTCCTTAATTTCAATACAATGAGGTTATATTTGAAAAAAAATGTAAAAAATTGTCTTGATTTTTGAGCGCGCCTTATATTTCAAAAAAATTGAGAAATCTTTATACGCCTTATATTTCAAAATGGAGGGAGTATTACAGAATTATGAATCGAACAAAACTAATTTTAGACGTTATAATAACCGCGTATTATATAATTATAAAATTATAAATTTTGAATTTCGTCGCAAAAAAAGAAAAAGAACAAGAAAAAAAGGCAACATTTATTAAATTTTTTATAGTGACTACTGACTATACTCAAAAGCACCAAATTAATGTAACTTTTCATTGTTTATTACCCTT